AAAAAAAACCCCCCCCCCCCCAATATAATATAGATAGGATAAGCTGAATTGCTATCACATGTCTAAATGATTTTTAAATACTATAGTCATATTGAAACTCAACCTATGGTTTCATAGCAGGTGCCAAGCCAGGTAAAAGGAAGAGGGTTGTATTAGGCCCTCAGCAGCCAATGAAAAACTTGTCAATATACCAAAACAAACAAAACTTTGATATATACTGATAGTATTATTCTCCAATTAGAATTACCTTGCTAATACGCATTCACATTTAATGGAATCATTTATTACACATTTTACAGTAGTGAAACTCTGATTGAGATTGGAGAAAAGCACTAACAGTGCCTATAGCATAAGTTTTATCCTATAATCCTACCAAACATGAATGACTCATCCTAGTGGGATAAGACTTTTGTTATTCTTGTTACTAAAGTCATATTTAATAGGATGATTCATCACAAAATTTTAATGCAATATCAAAATCCACAATCATAAACCAAGCCAGGATAAATAAGACCTCCGACTAATTTTCTTGAGCATGATATGCTAACCTGCCACTAATCTCATAGTCATATGCCACATCCACAAATCTTCTACCTAATTCTTCAAACAAAGAAACACGCGGAAAGAGAAAAAAGAGAAACGTGAAGAACACACCTGGTGGCAAGTACTTTATCCCCAACAGTGAAGACTCCAGCTTTATCAGCTGATCCTCCTGGTGCAATGGCATCAATGTAAGTTCCCCCATCCCTGCCCTTTGCAAATTTGAGTCCAAAGGGCTGCTCCAGTTCCACCTCATACTCTTCATACTCCTCCTCTTCTCCCTCACTCTCCTGCTTCGATGCCTCTGACCCTACCTCAGATGAAGCCTTAACAGCAAAAAGCAAAGGCCTTGACAAAAGGGTGTTTGAGAAGCAATAGGAAACACCCGAATATGAAGGGCTTCTGGAAGAAAAGAACTTGGTGGAGGGAGAAAACAAGGTTGAGTGGACTTGGGTGGTTCTTGGCAATGTGAGTGCAGAGTAAAGAGATGAGTGACTACTAGTGGTGGTGGTAGATAATGACATGGTTATGTTATTCACAAAACTTTGAAACTGCTACTGCTATTGCAAGTTTCTCTTGGTGCTTCAAGTTGTGCTTGTGCATAGTTAACACAGTTGAAGGTTGTGTTGTTGGGGCCACAAAGACATGGATGAGAGGTTGTGAGTGTAGATTGCTGAAGTGGTTAAGAAGCAACATCCGTTCAGTTCACTAGTATCATGCCACGTGTACTTTTTCGATTTTGCTATGTTTGAGACGTGGCTGTGCTACCTCTACCAAGTCTCCAACAATTTGATTAGGGAGGTGGAAAATTTAGTATATAATAAGGTTATGCTTGGATATTCTTTTCAATTTTTAAGAGAAAAGAATGAAAATAAAATAAAACAAACAGAAGTTAAAATTAATTAATTTTCAATTTAAAAATAAGATTTTAAAAAAGTTAATAAGAAATTTTTTTTATAAATTAACTTATGCAGAAATTAATTTTAATTTATAAAAAAATTATTTTATTTTTTCTATTTTTTTCTTCTGTAAGTTTTTTTTTTTTGAAGAAAAAGAAGAAGAAGTTTAATTATCTTAGGAAACTATTGAAATTTTAATTAATTGTTAAAGATAATATTATCAATTTCATGAATAAACGTTGTTTGCAATTGTTTAAATTTGTTATTGACAATTTTTTCTTATCTTTTCAGGAAAGATCAAGATTGCGAATTTTTTGGTGTCTGAAAATTCATTTAACTCATTAAAATAAATTAAATGTAGCCTTTATTTTATTCTTCTTATACATAAAAAAAAAAAAAA